GTCTCAAAATGATCTTGTGTTGCGGAAAACTAACCACACTAATTTGTGATATCTAATCATGATCATGTGTCATTTAAAATGTCTCCAGACATAGTGTGTGCACGAGCAGATCCTGTAAAGCCAGGAATGAGTCTGCTGAGAGTCACGGGACAAAAACTCAGGAAATGCAGAGAGAAATGTGGGATTTTTAAACAAGAGAGGAAACATGGACATATAATATCTCTCTCAAGTATGGAGAGCAGATTCCACTTGTGTTTCCATAAAGGTGCAAGACTTGTATACAGCAGTGGTGAATCAGTGGTGAATACAAATCCCCCGGAAGCTGATTGGAACTCATTAGGATTCATCCTCTGGGGAGCAGGAATGTCAGTAGCTGTTGGGATGCCTCCCTCTGGACTGAACCGGAGTGTTTTAATATAACGTAATGTTTAAACCTGCAGAGTGAAGGTGAGCTCCAGCTCCGCCTCCATCAGGCCGTCAGCAGGAAGCAGGAGATATTCCCCGGATCTCAGGGTCCGCTTCGAGCCCTGAGAGACAGAACCAGGATCAGGTGTTTGTGGGGTTTAACATGAACTCTATAATGATGATACAGAGGGGTCGAAGCTCAGGCTGAAGGGGAATCTTCTAAATAAAATATACAAAACAAGAGGAGGGGGTGTTGGGAGAAAAAACTCAAGATATTCTCTGCCATTTGAAAAGTTTCTTCCAGTGTGCCTTTAATCACATTTAAGTTTGGATTTATTTTCTCATAAATGTGCAACATAAATCAAATGTTTAATTTCCCCAATCTTCAATACATTGGAGTATTTCTGATACCTTATGATACCTTGATTAGTTACACATTTCCCGGAAACTGCACAACTCAACCAAATGAACAGTATCTCAGGTTTAGTTCTTTGTACACATGTTGATGCTTTTAAAGAAATAACTAAGACTGGGATCAGTTATTGAATCATCTGCACAGAGAGCGTTATTGAAACCAGCTCAGACTCGTGAAGAAGGGTTCAGTGTTTGCACAGAATCTGATATCCACCTGGATCTTCACAGCGATGACGACGGAGCTCAGCTCTCTGTCCAACTCCTTCAACACCATCAGCCGGGTCACCGTCAGACTGCACTGCCTGAAGAGAGGAAACACCGTCAGACTGAAGAGAGGAAACACCGTCAGACTGAAGAGAGGAAACACCGTCAGACTGAAGAGAGGAAACACCGTCAGACTGCACTGCCTGAAGAGAGGAAACACCGTCAGACTTAAAGTAAACAGATATGGTTCTAAACTGTATTGAAGTAAACATGTATTGTTTTGAATTGTATTTTAGTGAACATGTATTGTTTGAACTGTTTTAAGTAATCACATATATAGATATTGTATTCTCACTTACAACTCACTGACCCAGAGATCCTGTTACACACACATACACCTCCTCCCACCAGCACACACACATATTCTTTTCAAGGTTCTTTCTGGGCATCAATATATCTGTGTACAATGTTTGGTTGTCTGGGAAAGAATAGTTTGTGTGAAATATTCCTTGGGAAAGTAAAGGAGTGAATACAGGTGCAGAGATAAAGATTGACTCTGCCCTTGTGAAACTTCAGAATCTCACGCTCTGCTCAGAAGAAAACATACTTTTTCCCAGAACTCTGATTCGCTGTATTGGACCCGACCAGAAGTGAATCCAACCAGTAGAAACACCTGGGGGAGTGAGCAGCTCACACAGTTCCTCCCCACGGACTCTCTGATTCGCTTCGGAGTAAAATGGGAAGGAAGAAGTCAACACATCTCCGCCGCAAAATATGAATATGAATACTGTTGTTTTTGCATGTAAAATGCTTCTTGTTTGCTGACTGGCTGGTCCCGATACCTGTATCGCACCGCAGTAGAAACCTGAAGTCCGGAGTACTCTGTAAAACTTGTATACGTGTTTTGTTTCTTACCAGTAAAATCAGATTATTGTTATAACCTTTAATTCCGGTGTTTTGAATTCCTTTCTTTATTAAATATAACCAGCCTCATCTAACGAACGGCGCGTAGCGGAGGGGGGGGGCTTTCAGCCACCATCCAACAGTGTTTTCTACAACAGACTGCACAGCCTGAAGAGAGGAAACAACAACACAACAGAAACCTCCATAAACACAGTTATACTCTCAAACACACACACACACACACACACACACACACGCACACACACACACACACACACACGCACGCACACGCACGCACGCACGCACGCACACACGCACGCGCACGCACGCGCACACACACGCACGCACGCACGCGCACGCACACACACGCACACACACACGGTGATGGAGGGTCGATGTGCAGCAACAGAGCTGGAGAGAAACTGAGGAACCCTTATTGTGTTTTCTCTTATATATATAATAGTTATAAATCATGCAAAATGACAATAAAGACTCAAACAATTACAAAGATATGCAACGAGGAGCAAAGTGGACACAAGAGAAAGGGATGCAACGAGGAGCAGGGGCAAAGTGGACACAAGTCAAGGGGATGCAACGAGGAGCAGGGGCAAAGTGGACACAAGTCAAGGGGATGCAACGAGGAGCAGGGGCAAAGTGGACACAAGTCAAGGGGATGCAACGAGGAGCAGGGGCAAAGTGGACACAAGTCAAGGGGATGCAACGAGGAGCAGGGGCAAAGTGGACACAAGACAAAGGGATGCAACGAGGAGCAGGGGCAAAGTGGACACAAGACAAGGGGATGCAACGAGGAGCAGGGGCAAAGTGGACACAAGACAAAGGGATGCAAAGACACATATTTGAAGTCTAAATACGTTCATGATGACTCTCTCACTGCCAGAAGGGCCCAGGGCGGTTTACAGGAAAAAACATTTTGAAATAAATACTGAATTCTGCGATTTTCAGAATCAAGCTCAAATGCTAAAGTGGACCTATCATGCTATATTTGAATAATATAGCATGATATTCATGTATAAAAGACGTACAAAAGTGCATTTTGTATGATAGGTCCCCTTAAGTAAACTGCTTCCATGAGCTTTCTTTCTTGGATAGCTAGTTTAAGTGATGTATCTATCTGGAAAGCTAGCTAGTGCATGTTAGCTATCTAGCCAAAGATATCCCCAAAGTGGTGGCTTGTGTTTTGTTCTCATAGCTCCTCACGTCGCAACCCAACACCAAATATGAGTTATTTGGACAAAGTAATCGCATATTGGTAATATGAATAGTTAGTTACTTTCTTGCCTGAACAACTATTATAACGTAATCCCAGTTCATTTAAAAGCTTTAAAAGTGTTTATTTGGAAAGAAAATGTTGACGAAGCTGGGTGATAAGCAAAGTAATAGCACTTCTGCTCTAAAATGTAAGTTTGAACACAGTTGAAGGCGAGGAGGAGTCGCTCTGGTTGAAAGGAAGTTAGAGACTGTTGAGCTGCTCCTCCTGAGATCGCATTAGCAGAGGATCAGAGAGAGGAGCTAATCCATGCTAACACCTGCTAATCCATGCTAACACCTGCTCACCTGAGCGCAGCACGAGAGACTGCACTGTAATATCCTCTGGGAACAGGGTTTTAATACTGGGAACCACTGAGTATTATATATTCTAGAGAGTATTTCACACTTTGCCCCTACTACTTTTACTTCTGTCAAATATTTGAGTACTTCTTCATCCCCCTGTAGCTTCATGCCCCTGTAGCTTCATGCCCCTGTAGATATAAGATAATGAGATGTAGGTGCTTTTAAAGTGTATTGTATTTTCACAATTGGGTTTATTGTCTTTATATTTTATAACTTTGCGTTGGTGTATAAAAGCACATTTTAAAAAGAAGGGAAGATATATAAATAGTATAAAAGAAAATATGTATTTGACATGTCTGACTGTAATTTCAGTTCATTATTATGACCTTATAAAACAAGGACCATGCATAAAATAAAATAATAACATAACATTGTATGTACTGGCTCCATCTGCAGTCCCTGAGGTACACAACTATCACAATAACAATTATATTTAATTATGACTTTTGTCTTTCATTTCAAAACATTGTTTAATTGTTTCATAATGCTGCGACTCGCCTTTTTATATTTAAAACGTGTAATTATTTTGTTTGAGATGTTTAATATGTGTGCTCACTAAATACAGTTTGTCTCTTAGCTAATATGTGTCCCCTCTGTGGGACTGATAAAGGAGATCTGATTCTGAGGACAATTGTTTTTCTGAGGACATTCAGCATGTTATTCTGCAAAAGTCCCTCATTCTTTATGTGTACGATATATGTCCAAATAAATAAACACGGAGCTCCCTGACCAGGCAGCAGCTCCTTCTCTCCCCACGATCAGCGCCTCTCACCTGGGCACGCAGCTCGGGGAGCACCGCTCCATCTCCCAGGTCGCGAACAGGCTCATCGGCACCGGGGCGTCCGGTTCCCCGGGGACAGAAGCTCCGGAGCCCGGGGAGAGCAGCGGGTCTGTCCCCGGGGGGAAAGCAGCGCTGCCCCGGACTCTGTCTCTGTCTGCAGCCGCTGCCATGGCTCTCTCTCCGGGCAGCAGGTCGCTGTGAAGCCGGGCAGCAGCGAGAGGGGCGGGGCTCACTGATCCAGAGTCAGAGGGTCAGAGAACAGGGGGTTAGAAGTACACAGTGTTGTACTTCAGTAAACGTAGAAGTACTCAGTGTTGTACTTCAGTAAAAGTAGAAGTACTCAGTGTTGTACTTCAGTAAAAGTAGAAGTACACAGGTCTTGTACTTTAGTAAAAGTAGAAGTACTCAGTGTTGTACTTCATAAAAGTAGAAGTACTCAGTGTTGTACTTCATAAAAGTAGAAGTACTCAGTGTTGTACTTCAGTAAACGTAGAAGTACTCAGTGTTGTACTTCAGTAAAAGTAGAAGTACACAGGTCTTGTACTTTAGTAAAAGTAGAAGTACTCAGTGTTGTACTTCAGTAAAAGTAGAAGTACACAGGTCTTGTACTTTAGTAAAAGTAGAAGTACTCAGATATTGTACTTGAGTAAAAGTAGAAGTACTCAGAGCGTGTACTTTAGTTAAAGTAGAAGTAGCCTACTCAGATCTTGTACTTGAGTAAAAGTACAAGTACTCAGATATTGTACTTGAGTAAAAGTAGAAGTACTCAGATCTTGTACTTGAGTTAAAGTAGAAGTACTCAGATCTTGTACTTGAGTAAAAGTACAAGTACTCAGAGCGTGTACTTGAGTAAAAGTAGAAGTACTCAGATCTTGTACTTGAGTAAAAGTAGAAGTACCAGAGTGTAGGAATACTCTGTTACAGTAAAAGTCCTGCATTCAAAATGTTCCTCAAGTAAAAGTATAAAAGTATTATCATCAAAATATAGTGAAAGTAGAGACAGTAAAAGTAGTCATTGTGCAGATTGGTCCATTTCAGAATAATATATATGATATGTTTTATAATGATTGATCATGAAAGTGTTCTCAAAGCTGGTAAAGGTGCAGCTAGTTTGAATGACTTTGTATACTGCAGGGTAGCTTGTGGATTTACTCCAGGTGGAACTAAAGTCTGATTTAACACTTGGTTATATTTCACATCATTCATCCACATCTGTGAAGTAACTAAAGGTATTAAATACATGGAGTGGAGTACAAGTACACCATGTACCTCTGAACTGTAGAGGAGTAGAAGTACTCCATGTACCTCTGAACTGTAGTGGAGTAGAAGTACACCATGTACCTCTGAACTGTAGTGGAGTAAAAGTACACCATATACCTCTGAACTGTAGTGGAGTAGAAGTACTCCATCTACCTCTGAACTGTAGTGGAGTAGAAGTACACCATGTACCTCTGAACTGTAGTGGAGTAGAAGTACACAGTAGCATAACATGTAAATACTCAAGTAAAGTACAAGTACCTCAAAAGTGAAACTGTATATATGCATTCTATGGTACTTCATAGGCTTCTACTCCACTATATTGCAGAAGCCAGTATTTTAATGAGTATTTTACTTTTGATACTTTAAGTACATTTTGCACTTTTGTGCTTACTTGAATTAAATTATACATTTAGGATTTAGGACATTTACTTGTACTGGAGTTTTAACAATAATGTGGTACTTTTACTGAAGTAAAGGTTCGGAGTACTCTGACAGGTTCCTGTGATTTCTGCGGGTGTTACAGGTGAATGAAAAATGTAAAACAGAGCAAAGTCAAACTAATTCTAACACAAGGCATGCAGTGTAATCCAAGTCTCATTTGTCCAGTTCAAGTACATTTACTTCAACTTTGAGGAATTTGTACTTTACCCTAGTATTGTCATTTTATACTACTGCATACTTCTACTCCACTACTTTTCAGAAGCCAGTAGTGTACTTGTTACTAGCTTTCAGCTTCAGTGTCAGATTCAGATGTTTTTTTGGTTCGGGAAATATCAATGTGACAATAGGATTATTACCAAAAAGAAACAAGACCCTCCTTCTAAATCCTAGGATCACCTTACATTTTATATATATATACTGTATATATATATACTGTATATATATATATACTGTGATGGCTTACTTCAGAAGGAGGTTAATTAGGAAAGTTCTTGATTAGTATTTGACCAGAATGTTAATGTTCCCTGGGTTTAACAGGAATGGACCCACAAGCAATACAAAAAAGAAGGTACTTTCTAATCTCACCAACATCTACATGTGATGATACTTTGTTCACTGCAGGGTTGTATTGAGCAGTATCCATCAGTCAGAGTCAGCATGAGAACAGTAGAGTCTCCGGTCGTTGATAATTACTGACCGAGTTGTTAGAAGTCGAGCACTGCAGATAAATAGTGGCTGTTCAGAGTTTTACTAGTTTTGGAATAAAAGAATAGAGGATTTAAACATCAGGAAAGCCAATACTCCACTCACTGTTCTTTAATGTTTGAAAGAAACACACTGCATCATGTTGTCAGATAATATTCAACAGCTCTCGGGTTTACATCCTCCAGTACAGAGCTGCAGTTCCTGTGTTGGACCCTGAAGGCAGCATCTCCCTGGTTCTGTGTTGGACCCTGAAGGCAGCATCTCCCTGGTTCTGTGTTGGACTCTGAAGGCAGCATCTCCCTGGTTCTGTGTTAGACCCTGAAGGCAGCATCTCCCTGGTTCTGTGCTAGACCCTGAAGGCAGCATCTCCCTGGTTCTGTGTTAGACTCTGAAGGCAGCATCTCCCTGGTTCTGTGTTATACCCTGAAGGCAGCATCTCTCTGGTTCTGTGTTAGACCCTGAAGGCAGCATGTCTCTGGTTCTGTGTTAGACTCTGAAGGCAGCATCTCCCTGGTTCTGTGTTAGACTCTGAAGGCAGCATCTCCCTGGTTCTGTGTTAGACCCTGAAGGCAGCATCTCCCTGGTCCTGTGTTAGACTCTGAAGGCAGCATCTCCCTGGTTCTGTGTTAGACCCTGAAGGCAGCATGTCTCTGGTTCTGTGTTAGACTCTGAAGGCAGCATCTCCCTGGTTCTGTGTTAGACCCTGAAGGCAGCATCTCCCTGGTTCTGTGTTGGACTCTGAAGGCAGCATCTCCCTGGTTCTGTGTTGGACCCTGAAGGCAGCATCTCCCTGGTTCTGTGTTAGACACTGAAGGCAGCATCTCCCTGGTTCTGTGTTAGACCCTGAAGGCAGCATCTCTCTGGTTCTGTGTTAGACTCTGAAGGCAGCATCTCCCTGGTTCTGTGTTAGACTCTGAAGGCAGCATCTCCCTGGTTCTGTGTTAGACCCTGAAGGCAGCATCTCCCTGGTTCTGTGTTAGACTCTGAAGGCAGCATCTCCCTGGTTCTGTGTTAGACCCTGAAGGCAGCATCTCCCTGGTTCTGTGTTAGACTCTGAAGGCAGCATCTCCCTGGTTCTGTGTTAGACCCTGAAGGCAGCATCTCCCTGGTTCTGTGTTAGACCCTGAAGGCAGCATGTCTCTGGTTCTGTGTTAGACTCTGAAGGCAGCATCTCTCTGGTTCTGTGTTAGACTCTGAAGGCAGCATCTCCCTGGTTCTGTGTTAGACCCTGAAGGCAGCATCTCCCTGGTTCTGTGTTAGACTCTGAAGGCAGCATCTCCCTGGTTCTGTGTTGGACCCTGAAGGCAGCATCTCCCTGGTTCTGTGTTAGACCCTGAAGGCAGCATGTCTCTGGTTCTGTGTTAGACCCTGAAGGCAGCATCTCCCTGGTTCTGTGTTGGACTCTGAAGGCAGCATCTCCCTGGTTCTGTGTTGGACCCTGAAGGCAGCATCTCCCTGGTTCTGTGTTAGACCCTGAAGGCAGCATCTCCCTGGTTCTGTGTTGGACCCTGAAGCCAGCATCTCCCTGGTTCTGTGTTAGACTCTGAAGGCAGCATCTCCCTGGTTCTGTGTTAGACTCTGAAGGCAGCATCTCTCTGGTTCTGTGTTAGACTCTGAAGGCAGCATCTCTCTGGTTCTGTGTTAGACTCTGAAGGCAGCATCTCCCTGGTTCTGTGTTAGACCCTGAAGGCAGCATCTCCCTGGTTCTGTGTTAGACTCTGAAGGCAGCATCTCCCTGGTTCTGTGTTGGACCCTGAAGGCAGCATCTCCCTGGTTCTGTGTTAGACCCTGAAGGCAGCATCTCCCTGGTTCTGTGTTGGACCCTGAAGCCAGCATCTCCCTGGTTCTGTGTTAGACTCTGAAGGCAGCATCTCCCTGGTTCTGTGTTAGACTCTGAAGGCAGCATCTCCCTGGTTCTGTGTTAGACTCTGAAGCCAGCATGTCTCTGGTTCTGTGTTAGACCCTGAAGGCAGCATCTCCCTGGTTCTGTGTTGGACCCTGAAGGCAGCATCTCCCTGGTTCTGTGTTGGACCCTGAAGGCAGCATCTCCCTGGTTCTGTGTTGGACCCTGAAGGCAGCATCTCCCTGGTTCTGTGTTGGACCCTGAAGGCAGCATCTCCCTGGTTCTGTGTTAGACTCTGAAGGCAGCATCTCCCTGGTTCTGTGTTAGACCCTGAAGGCAGCATCTCCCTGGTTCTGTGTTGGACCCTGAAGGCAGCATCTCCCTGGTTCTGTGTTAGACCCTGAAGGCAGCATCTCCCTGGTTCTGTGTTGGACCCTGAAGGCAGCATCTCCCTGGTTCTGTGTTAGACTCTGAAGGCAGCATCTCCCTGGTTCTGTGTTAGACCCTGAAGGCAGCATCTCCCTGGTTCTGTGTTAGACCCTGAAGGCAGCATCTCCCTGGTTCTGTGTTAGACCCTGAAGGCAGCATCTCCCTGGTTCTGTGTTAGACCCTGAAGGCAGCATCTCCCTGGTTCTGTGTTAGACTCTGAAGGCAGCATCTCCCTGGTCCAATGGTATCTCTCCATGTGATTTTGGATGATTTATGTCCGAAAATAATGTCAGTGTCAAACGTTTATGATACCAGTGGGGTATTAACTGAAGTATTTTATGTCATAGAACAAACGGTTAAAATCTCTTCAGACCTTAATTCCGGACAACAACCAAAATCACATTCAGAAAACCATTGACCTCCAGACCAGCGGACAGGAAGTGAGGAGATACTGCTGCTGTTTCTAAACAACACATTACAGAACATCATGATTGACGTGTCTCTTTATTTGAAGTGTACTCACATTCACACACACATACACACTTATATGTTCTCAAACATTTGGATCCACCGGCTCAGGTTGAAGAGTCTCTGTGTGAAAGAGTTTGTGTTCTCGGTACAGCGAAGACCTTAAAACGGCTTCAACGCCAAACTCTGGATCCTCCTACGCTTCTAAACTTATGTTTTAAAACTAACTACATATCAAACTCAGTGCAGATATTCATTGAGGTGCAACACTCCGGCTCCAGTCACTCAGAAAGTCCTGCCGTTTCAGACAGCATGACCTCCCTGCTGTGGTCGTGTAATACTTAAAGGTACAGATGAAGCATTCATGATACATGTTATTGTTCCAGAGGTATGTAAGGATGAAGATAGTCCCGTCTCTGAGGCTCTCAGCCGACAGAGAAAAGTCCAACAAAGACAACGGAGAAATGCACAGAGAGGTTTAGAGTCCTGAAGGAACCTTGGGGGCTTTGAAAACCCACTAAAGATGTTGAAGCTCTAAAGGGAGACGACACTCAGTCAGCTTTATCCAAACTGTGGTGTTGTTTGTTTGGCAGATCGCTTAGTCCTGTTGTTTATTCCAAGCGAAACTGAAGCTCAATGTCAGTGAGTCGATCAGTACACATCCAGGTTGTGGGCCTCCTGGATGTGCACGGAGTCGACTGACTTCTTCTTCTGGGGAAGTTTGAAGAGAGAACATACAGAACACGCTAAGGGAAGCCCATCATGACGGAAACCAAACCAGATGAAATAGAAAGAAACCCTGAAGTATTGACATCACCTGTTTTGGACTGGCTCTTAAAGAAGACTCCAAAGAGACGGATCTTCCACACAGCTGTACTTCGTAAAAACTCAGAAACATGTTACTCACTTCTCTAAAGTACAAAAGTATTATCTACAAAATGATCTTAAAGTTTGACAAGTAAAATAACTCTTTCTGCAGTAAAATGGCCTCTATGATATATATATCATATTATTAGATCGTGCGCAGCATTTTACAGCTGTAGACAAAAACAGTTCTGACACATGATTCACGTTTACGACTTTCTGTCTTTACTTTTCTTATATTGGATCATTTTACTTGTTGTCCCTGAGACTGAAAAAACTGCACTTGAATAATCTCCAGAGATACATTGTGTTTGGCATTTATCCTGTTTCTTTATTTTGAAGAGTAACTGAGGCTTTAGAATAAACGTAGCGCATTAAAACACATTATTTTCATTTGAATTCACTTAAATAGTATGAAAGGGAAATGCTAAGGTAAAGTACAAGTACCTCATAATTGTACAGTACTTAGTACAGTACTTATTAAATGTACTTAGTTGCTTTCCGCCACAAGCAGAATCTAATTAGAACTCATTATAACCCATTGGAACACCTTAGAACCTTTATAACCCTTAATAACCTTTGGAACCATTTGGAACCTATTGGAAGCAATTAAACCCCTCTAGAATCCATTAATACCCATCATAAGCCATTGAAACACTGTGGAACCTATTGGACCCCAATGGAACCCTTTTAGACCCTTGGAACCCTCTAGAACCTTTATAACCAATTGGAACTCTATATAACCCTTTGGAACCCATTGGAACCCTTTAGAAAACATAAGAACATGTTAAAAACCATTGATTCCCAATAGAACCCATTGCAACCCATTAGAACCCTTTGGAACCCTTCGGAACATTTATAACCAATTGGAACTCTATAGAACCCTGTGGAACCCTTTAGAACCTATAGGACCCCAATGGAACCCTTTAAAACCATTGGAACCTTTGTAACCCAATGGAACTCTATAGAACCCTTTGGAACCCTTTAGAACCCATTGGAACCCTTTGGAACCCATAGGAAGCCTTTGGAACCTTTTAGAAAAAACATAAGAACACATTCAAAACCATTGAAACCCATTAGAACCCATTGTAACCCATTAGAACCCTTCGGAACCCATTGGGAGCTCCATCAGTTAATCAGGAACCGTTTTTGAGCCTCTGCAGCAGAACGTTAGAACCCCTGGACGTGACAGTAGGCCTCCAGCGAGGAGAACACGATGTACAGGAGCCACAGGCTGAAGAACAGGCAGCTGGTCAGGATCTTTGGGACCCGCGGCCCGCCCAGCTCGCCCCCGATGGAGGGCCGGCGCCGGTACAGGAGCACGCCGAAGCAGATGAAGGCGAAGCTGCAGAAGAGCGTGACGGAGAACGCCAGGGTTCCCGGGTCCACGCGGAACTCCTCGCCGTGGATGGCGTGGTAGATGGCGGCGATGGACCAGGCCACGCCGATACCCAGGAACACGTTGACGGCGTTACTTCCTGTCACGTTGCCGATGGAGGCGTCAGCGTATTGGTCCTGGATGGCAGACACTTTACTGGCAAAGGTGTCTGAGGGAGAGAGAGGGAGGGGTTTGAGAGGAACTACAAAGCAAGATCCACAGACAGGGTTTCTTTGAGTTAGCTGACACAGCCTGAAACTCTAGTCAGAGATAACGGGTTCTACTATCTAAGTTAAGCTATCTATTCTCCTCAGGCTCTGATCAGGTTCTCATGAAAGAACGAAACTAACTTGACTAGTTTTTCTGGAAGTCCCAAACTTTTAAACGTCATACTCAATTGTTGCATTAGGGTCTTTACACCAATGTTCAGCGTTCAAACAGCATTAACACTAAGTGTGGACTTTCAGGCTTTAAATCATTTTACCACATTTTAAATGCAAGTAAACGTCACATTGATGAATGATATATTAACTATGAATATATGTCATGTGCCAGATTTATAGGATGTTTTTTTTTACTGCTCAGAAAAAAACATGTTTGTTTATCAGACGGGGGGGGGGGGGGGGGGGGGGGGGGGGGGGGGGGGGGGGGGGGGGTGGGGGGGGGGGGGGGGGTGGGGTGTGGGGTGGGGGGTGGGTGGGTGGGGGTGGGGGGGGTTGTGTTTTTTTTGGTTTTTTTGTTGTTGTGTGTTTTTTTGTTTTTTTTTTTCGTTT